ACTTCTCGGAGATGTGTATTGCTGGTATTGGCGTAACCGGATCATGCTTGTTCGAGTTAAAATGTCCAAATGCAGCGATAATGAACGTTAAATGTTTGTTCAGCGCAAATACCGATCTTTCAATCCATCTTCATTTTTTTCGAAATGAAAAAGCACTCAACGAGCCTGTGAACCATCAGCCTCACACTAGAGATCGATAGCGGCTCCACCACTAAGTTTGGTCAGTTGATGTTAGCCATTCTCCGTGGACAGTTTGGGTCAGATAAATGCACCGAAGGATAGCTTGCAAATCCATTTAGATTAGATGTTGTGCTAGGAGAAATATATAATTAATCATTTGATATTTGAAAGATCACGTTTGTGTCGCTTAATCATTTTTTTGTCATTGATGTCAAATTTCTTTTCTTCCTCATCGTTGTCAGGGAGACACGAGAAAAGAACTTCAGCGCGGCTTTATAAATATTCAGTAAAACAGCGAAACTATCTTTAGTGGTCGGGTGGCGCCGTGGTAACACACTCGACTTTCACCTAACCGTCCGGAGTTCGACTCCTGGACTTGAAAAGGTAAGGGTGACCTGCCTAACCACGAGGGTTATTCCCGGGTACTCCGGTTTCCTCCCACAATAAGACTCCTCGCGCTTACATCCGGGCCGACAAGAGTGATTAGTATATAAAATAACTTGTTTCGCAATTGTTGTAAAAGAAATAAAGGTAATATTTTCTAACTATCTTTAGTCCTTCACATTTTCACATTTTCTTCGTGATATTTAAATGTTAGTAAACGAATTCGCCTCAGTGAATCACGGGATATGCACCATTAGAATGACCGTCTTCATCAGCAAGAAGACATCTTTTGTTTTCCGAAACATTTCAGAAGATTTTGCGGAATGTACCTTGTGAAAAAAAACAATGACAGTGTAAGAGTTGCACCCCTTTTATTGATTTATTGATTTGTAGAAGTTCAGAGTAAAGGTTGCTTAACCTTAACTGGTGGAAAATCCCCTTAAGTCGAGCGATAGAGTTTCCGACTAGAGGCCGAAGGGTCGCAAGTTCGAACCCCAGAGATGGCAGGGTGTTTTTTTTATTGCTCCTTCCTACTACAGATTTGATGCCGTTGGACATTTAGGAGATTGTGATGCTGCCTTGGAGATATCAAAACTGGATTGTTGTCGGGGTGGAAAAACTTTGTGAAGGGATGCGTGTAGTAGTGTAGACATTGAGTGTAAAAGCCTTAGGTAGATTGTAGGAACGGTGCAAGTAGATAAGGCGACGTCAATGCAAAAAACAAAATGACAACTTAGGGATTTCAAACTGCATCAAAAGTTGCTTTTAACGACAAAAACACAACTGTCTTCGTTCCCCACATTTACCTCAATAACTTATGATAATCTTACTTGATAATATTATCATCCCTGATTCTTCAAGTCTTCCCACAAGAACGAGGCACATGTATCATTTAATAACTACTAGCTTCAAAGTTTGCCAAAAGAACCACTCAGTAATTACATGTTAGTATCATGATTTGTTAGATTTCTTGGAAACTGTTCAAAAAAGGAACAAATCTGCATTTGTACGCGTTTTTTCCTTTTATCGTCAATTCATGACGTCACCGCATCATGACGTAAAAAGGGACTTGATTATGTATGTCATTTTGACATTTCTGTGGTTGAGTTATGGATAGTGTACACATGTTTTCATAGATTTTTTTTCAGATTTTAAACATTTAATGAAATAGGCAATGCTTAAAAGTGAACGCTAACTCGACCACTAACGTTCATATGCAGCTGTTTTAGGTCCATAAGCCACACAATGATTAATCACGAGACATACTAAATCAATTTAGAGTAGAGAGTCATGGATGTACGGCATATCCTCTTGGAAATATATATAATTTCAAAGGAAATTGTAATAGATCTAAATTTATATAATCATATTTATGATATGCACGCGAATCTTTTTGACAAATGGGGCTCCTGATTTCATGAGAAAATTTGGTCCCTAAGTCTAATCGGGAACCTTCGGTACTTTACGTGTAAAAAAATACATTTCTCGTTTACAGAAAGAGCAGAAGGTTTCCGATCGTCTTAAACCGGAAATCAAGTGAATAGGAAGCTACAAGTGCGCTAATACTGATTTTCCTTTCAACAAGCCGTACATAATATACATATAATGTTAAGTTTTATAAAAAAAAATATTTCCAATTTAAGGATATTTTGTAGATTGAGATATATTTCGGCCAACAAAAACTGCGGAACTCCTCGGTCCGTTTCAGGAACCCATGTTGTTAAAGATTGCAGCTTTTGGTTCGTGATTAGGTCTCTTTTAACCACTACTATTTCCACGGTTGATATCAAAGCGCCTGATATCGAAGACAATGGAGCAGTCCTTCTGACATGTTACTCATAGTCACTGCTCTGTTACCAGTCCTGATTATCCATGATACAAATTGTATTCTGTATTTTGTGTCTGTACTGTAAATACATCTGTATACAGAAATTATGAATGTCCAAACAATTTTATTCTCGTTCACACCAAATCCTATATCTGAAGTTCAGCGGTTACGATATAGAAACATATTGAATACCCTTGGATGGCGACAAAATTTCTCAAACTTTTTTTTCAAGAAATCAGCACAATCGTGAATCGTTTGACAATTCAGGTCCTTAATATCACTGACGAGGCCTAGAAGGACGAAACAGCTGTATGATGTAGTTTAATTTATTTTTCACTTTATTGTATGATCCAGTAATAAATTTCTGCTGACGGGCGCTATTCAGTTGTATGCCTTTTGTACAAAATCTGTATTAACAGCCGTGAACTTAAAAGGTTGACATTGGGGGAAAAAAAAAAAGAAAAAAAGCCGGAGAGTAATTAATACATTTCTTGTCTGCAACAGGAAATCAATTATACAGGTGCTCAAGAGCGCGGTTCTTAACCGTGTTCGTTGTACCCTATTTTAACAGGAAAGGAAGTGTTATGAGGGAAGGAATAGACATACACAATAGCAGTTATATATATGGGGTATGTGTTAGACCTAATATGTAGTCTTATTCAACAATACGTAAAAGAAATCTTTTGTTAAGGATCAAAATCGATAATTAGGGTGCCCGGAATTCCTGTCAGCCTTGGAGTATGTACCAGTATACCTCTGCCTATAATGTACGATAAGAATAGACATTCTAGATCCTAGCCTTGTAACGTTTCTACACTAGTCCAAATTTATAGAAAAACTAAATAGTGTTTTGGTACGTTCATCTATGATTCACGTTATCCGTGATCCACTAACACTCAATATCTCAAGGTTTTCTTTTTCATTTTTAAATGCATTTTTGTAATCATTGAATGATTCTGAATTGTCAGTAATGTATGGCGATGAATGTCATTTAATGCCAACAATCAAGGCGTAGTTCCGGTGCTGTTTCGGGTATCCTTTCACCATCTACACAGTACCTGTATCAAATACCTTCGTAACAATCAATTCATTAATTTCCCTCTTTTTTAACCCATAAAATATCATCAATATTTTATGTCATAACGATATTGATTGCAAAGTGCCTCATTTCGAATTCACCATTATTGATCAGCGAATAAGACATCAGTGCGATGTATATTGAACTGTTCTGTAGTTACAATAGTTTTGTACGCTAGACGAACAAAAAATATGAGCATAATTAGTAATATAGAGACCTAATACCTGCAATAATTGCTTTACTTCCTTTGTCCAATCCTGTCATTTGATAAATAGCACATTTGCCTTATGTTCATCCGGGCATCCAACACGGGTAATTACTCTTACTCCTGGTCAATAGATACCTGAGTATGCATTTTTGTCAAAATTATAAATTAAACATCACCATCGGAATAATATCATCAAAAAATAATGAATAATACAAGCATGTGGCATATTTTTAAATTTTTATTTATTTTAACAATTCCAGTAATTTCCGAAAACAATGATGAAACGAAATTGCGTTGTTGTCATTGAGGCGATATGCTATGGGGTTGTACAAATACATGAACAAGCACTTCGTCACCTCTCATTTTCACTCATAAACAATTCTAATTCTCTTCGTCACATCGAGAAATTATTCGTAGAAACATTTTTCTCCGTTGCTTAGTTTGTCACTGATTTCGTTACACTTAATTACTGGGTATCTCGTGAACAGGCAGTGTTAATTTGAGGTGGAGTATCCTTGTAGGCGGTGATGACTGCGCCACTGAACACAATGCGGGAGGCCCATCGCATGCTATAAAGAGCAATCGGGGTAAATAAAATTGCCCAAGGTCACAACCAGGAAAGCATAGGACGGTCCGTGATCTAACGGAAGTCGTTTAACACAGCATTACAATCAGACTTAAACATTAAAACGAAGAATCAGCATGTCCGATATACACATTGGTTGAACACTGAAGAATGTTAACGAATTTTATATAAATTACTGCTCTCATCATTGTCATTTTTATTCTCACGGTTTATGTAATTTGTACTACTTAAATCGCTATTTAATTCACTGAACTAAAGAAAATTGGTAGCACTACACGGAGCAAAATGTATGCCCAAATGAGACCATGCAAATATATCGCTTAATTTACGCCCTTCACAGTTTATATATTACAATATACATCACATCTACAAGTACGCCATACAAAATAAATAATATGTAAGTATAGTACTTCCATTTTGTTTTTATTAAATCTGTTCAACTGATTTCCTTTAAATCACTTATTTAGAATACGTATTTTGATGATAAATTGTGGTTAAAACATACTAAGTAGTTGCCAAAATTTGCACGCCATCTCGTTTAAATTTTGATATATATCTATTGTTTTTATTGCACATATTCGGAGACGAAACAGTTGAAACTTTACCGTCGACGTTCACTTCTCAGATGGAAATAAGTAGGCGCCAGAACTATCCTGAAACAGTGCTTAGTTAATGTCGACAGAATATTTCAAATGATTAATTATAAAATAAATAACTTCAACAGAATTACAATAGTCTATGAGAAACTTTCCATATGGTGACGACCTGGTATCATGCGCATTTCGTCATCAGAAACGTCCAAGTCCATATCGTCACTTACGTCACTACTCATATCAGGTGAAGAACATCTATTTCCGTTTCCGCCAAAATCACTGTTATCTTTTCCATCGCCTTCTTCCGCCTTTGTTCGTTTGTGTTTCGTCCGGCGGTTTTGGAACCATACTTTAACCTGGAATAAAAAATTAAGACTTGCTAGTTTGACGCACTAATCACATCAATGCATGAAAACGCAAATAACGCTAATAAAAGACAATGTTTAAATAAGTAAATCGAAAATAAAATGTTCATACATCTACAATAAGTATCTAACGGCTCAGTTAACAAAACTGTAACAGGTCATAAAAAGACTAAAAACATACAATTTCTTATAAATTATGTCAAGTTTGATGGTGTCACATCCTAAACGACCAGTTAAGACAAGCGAGCAACTTAATGCATGTGGTATGGAGTGACGACATCCATCAATAAATGTTTGTACGTGAATAAGTAGTGATTCGATCGAGTCAGGAAGAAAGATACCAATTTAAAGTTGGTGGGAGAATCCCGGAAGGATTGACGGTCGAGAATGTGAAATCTCGGAAGGGTTGACGATTAGGAACAGGTGAAACCAAAAAGGGTTGACGATCGGGAATGAGAAATGACGGAAGGGTTGACGATCGGGAATGAGAAATGACGGAAGGTTTGACGATCGGGAATGAGAAATGACGGAAGGGTTGACGATCGGGAATGTGAAATCCCGGAAAGGTTGACGATCGGGAATATGAAATCCCGGAAGGGTTGACGATTAGGAACAGCTAACACCAGAAAGGATTGACGATCGAGAATGTGAAATATCGGAAGGGTTGACGATCGGGAATGAGAAATGACGGAATGTTTGACGATCGGGAATGAGAAATGACGGAAGGGTTGACGATCGGGAATGTGAAATCCCGGAAGGGTTGACGATTAGGAACAGGTAAAACCCAAAAGGGTTGACGATCGGGAATGTGAACTCCCGGAAGGGTTGACGATCGGGAACGTGAATTCCGGAAGGGTTGACGATCGGGAATGTGAAATCCCTGAAGGGTTGACGATCGGGAATGTGAAATCCCGGATTAGGAACAGGTAAAACCCAAAAGGGTTGACGATCGGGAACGTGAATCCCGGAAGGGTTGACGATCGGGAATATGAATCCCGGAAGGGTTGACGATCGGGAATGTGAATCCCGGAAGGGTTGACGATCGGGAATGTGAAATCCCGGAAGGGTTGACGATCGGGAATGTGAATCCCGGAAGGGTTGACGATCGGGAATGTGAAATCCCAGAAGGGATGATGATCGGGAACGTGAAATCCCAGAAGGGTTGACGATCGGGAATGTGAAATCCCTGAAGGATTGACGATCGGGAATGTGAACTCCCGGAAGGGTTGACGATCGGGAACGTGAATCCCGGAAGGGTTGACGATCGGGAATGTGAAATCCCGGAAGGAAGAAAATGATTAATTAAGATTTTAAGTCCATATCCTTGGTAAGCGATAAACTCTAAAATATCTGTCTCTGGTTCTTGTTTGTACAAGTTTTCGGCTGACGTCTCTCGACATAGAACTAATAATTAATGAAATGCGTTACGGAAACTATTAATTAATCACATGTGTTCTGGTTTCCCGTTTTATATTACTCTGAATTTGAAAAATTACTTTTTAAGATCCGGTTTTTAACACAGTGACCCCAAGGTGTTAATATATTCATATAATACTTGACATACATGCATCATTTAAATGAACAATTAATGTCTACCAGCAGTGCATATGTATGTATCACACAGCAGTTAGACATGTCTTTATGTACTTTTATCACCAAAAAAGGTTTTTAAATGCAGTAGGTAAATTAATTATTAAATACACTTTTTATGACTGGCCAACTTCATTTATTTTTTTCTGGACATTTTGACTTTCTTTACCATCACTATGTACCTTTACTTATATCTAAATCGTGATAGACTTATAAAAGTAATATTCTTCTTCAGTAATGTGAACGTCTTGCTGCTACCTTTTGGATGCTTTGAGTTCTTTGACCTATCTTATTAAGAGTTGTAATGTGGACAAGTTCTGGATAATAAGTCATGACAAATACATCAAATAAGTTGTACATGCAAAACCTAGTTGTTTTTATGTATAGTTTTGACAAACATTACCAACACGTGATTTTTTACCTGTTTAAGGCGACGTTGACCTTTTGGGCGTAAACTGAGTAATGATATATGTAACTATACTTAAGGTAGTTCATCTTTAGACACGGAACCAGAAGGTGATTTATAATCCACCCCAATCCTTCGTATTTCACTGTACTATACCTGTGTCTCTGTCAGCTGTAGTTCACCCGCTAAGTCCTTTCGCTCTTGGCCCACCACATAATGACTTTTCTCGAATGACTTTTCTAGTTGCAGAAGCTGAGCAGGAGAAAATGCAGTCCGGATTCTCTTCGGTTTTCGGTAGGGTTGGAAAAGGAAACCCGGAGATGCTGTTACTGCAAGGAAGAGGAGACCATGGAAACATTAACAATGACCGCCTAATATTAGTGATCTACAAACAACACCGATGATAATGTTATAGTATGTAAAGTTGATATCTGATGTTCAATATTACAGCAAGTAAACTAAATATCTGATGTTTAACATTACAGTATGTTAACTAAATATCTGATGTTCAACATTACAGTATGTAAACTAAATATATGATGTTCAATATTACAGAAAGTTAACTAAATATCTGATGTTCAACATTACAGAAAGTTAACTAAATATCTGATGTTCAACATTACAGTATGTTAACTAAATATCTGATGTTCAACATTACAGTATGTTAACTAAATATCTGATGCTTAACATTACAGAAAGGTAACTAAATATATGATGTTCAACATTACAGAAAGTAAACTAAATATCTGATATTTAACATTATAGAAAGTAAACTAAATATATGATGTTCAATATTACAGAAAGTAAACTAAATATCTGATGTTTAACATTATAGAAAGTAAACTAAATATATGATGTTTAACATTATAGAAAGTAAACTAAATATATGATGTTTAACATTACAAAAAGTTAACTAAATATCTGATGTTTAACATTACAGAAAGTTAACTAAATATCTGATGTTTAACATTACAGAAAGTAAAATAGATATCTGATGTTTAACATTACAGAAAGTAAACTAAATATCTTATATTTAACATTACAGAAAGTAAACTAAATATATGATGTTTAACATTATAGAAAGTAAACTAAATATCTTATATTTAACATTACAGAAAGTAAACTAAATATATGATGTTTAACATTACAAAAGGTTAACTAAATATCTGATGTTTAACATTACAAAAAGTTAACTAAATATCTGATGTTTAACATTACAAAAGGTTAACTAAATATCTGATGTTTAACATTACAAAAAGTTAACTAAATATCTGATGTTTAACATTACAGAAAGTTAACTAAATATCTGATGTTTAACATTACAAAAAGTTAACTAAATATCTGATGTTTAACATTACAGAAAGTTAACTAAATATCTGATGTTTAACATTACAGAAAGTTAACTAAATATCTGATGTTTAACATTACAAAAAGTTAACTAAATATCTGATATTTAACATTACAGAAAGTTAACTAAATATCTGATGTTTAACATTACAGAAAGTTAACTAAATATCTGATGTTTAACATTACAGAAAGTAAACTAAATATATGATGTTTAGCATTACAAAAGGTTAACTAAATATCTGATGTTTAACATTACAGAAAGTAAACTAAATATATGATGTTTAACATTACAAAAGGTTAACTAAATATCTGATGTTTAACATTACAGAAAGTTAACTAAATATCTGATGTTTAACATTACAGAAAGTAAACTAAATATATGATGTTTAACATTACAGAAAGTAAACTAAATATATGATGTTTAGCATTACAGAAAGTAAACTAAATGTATGATGTTCAATATTACTGTATGTCAATTCAATATATGATACACTTATATTTATATTTTTTGGCTGACATCGAACAAATATTTTCGCTGAAATATGTACATTTGTAAATGGGTATGCAATACATAATTCGGTATAAAATGTTTAAATCATGAATATATAAACTGTAAATAAAAGACAATAAACATACAAATTCATCCTTGTTAATAGAGAAAAATCCTTCTTGTCGCCTAGTAACGCGTGTCACATGTGTAGCGTGACACTTATTGTCGACGACGTGTTAATGTTACGAAATCAGTGTCACGTTATTGGCAATTATGAAAAATATTTTGTCTAGTTTTGGATTCAGTTTCCATGTAATCATGCAGATTTCATTATATGAAATGTAGATTTAAGTTAAACCTATGTCTGCGATAGCTGTTGGCACCAGTTGTCACGGAAGGGGACGACACGGATTTGGTCATGATGAACACTACTGCGAAATTAACATAAGATACACTACACGTCCTTGGTAGTTGTTAAGAAGCTGTGCGACACTGTGTATATTACTGCACAACGGAAGCATCTACGCCCGCTCCGATAAAAAATATATGTATGTCATGTTAAATTTAAATGGCGTGATAGATGTGCGACAAACTTACACCTCGTAATGGCCATTTAACAGGTAATGTATTGCCGAAAACGAGGCAATCAACACGGCAGCTAGTCAAATTATTCCAGGTAATTAATGGAGTTGTCTCCCTTGCATGACAGTGTTGTTAGGCAGAAATCGTTTTAGCATTGGACAAGACCTGTCATAATTAATTAATAAACTAAGGTAATTAGAACGCTAACAATTGGACAGAGACTGTCATAATTAATTGATATTTGTGTAATTAGTTGTACAGGGACATTGGATTGACCACCAACGTCTGCGCGAGACGTCGCGACTGAGAAATGGAATATAATGCATAATCGAGCTGATTCGTATGGAGATTTATGTTAATACTTTAACATATTATTAAGAGGTTCTTGTTTTTTTGTTATATATACATAAATATGCAATGTATTTTTACCTTGACATACAAACGATCATAAATTATTTATCAATTAATTTAATTTTTTCGAAATAAAGTTGTGTTATATTCTTGTAAAAAAAATAAATTTTGCAAAAGATGAAAAAAATGGTTTTTGTTATTAAACAATAAAGAACCCAATAAAATCGTCAAGAAGAAAGGAAAGTTATAAGGCACAGAATGATCAATTTCAATATAGAAAAGACATCATCGACGAAGATATACTTATATTAACAGAGTCTATTAAAATCACAAACATGTACCTGTATCTGATAATATATATAATGATATATTGGTAACTGTCGGGAAAGTTTCTGTTAAAACAACTATAATGATATATTGGTAACTGTCGGGAAAGTTTCTGTTAAAACAACTATAATGATATATTGGTAACTGTCGGGAAAGTTTCTGTTAAAACAACTGTAATGATATATTGGTAACTGTCGGGAAAGTTTCTGTTAAAACAACTATAATGATATATTGGTAACTGTCGGGAAAGTTTCTGTTAAAACAACTATAATGATTTATTGGTAACTGTCGGGAATGTTTCTGTTAAAACAACTATAATGATTTATTGGTAACTGTCGGGAAAGTTTCTGTTAAAACAACTGTAATGATATATTGGTAACTGTCGGGAAAGTTTCTGTTAAAACAACTATAATGATTTATTGGTAACTGTCGGGAATGTTTCTGTTAAAACAACTATAACGATATATTGGTAACTGTCGGGAAAGTTTCTGTTAAAACAACTATAACGATGGTAACTGTCGGGAAAGTTTCTGTTAAAACAACTGTAATGATATATTGGTAACTGTCAAAAGTTTCTGTTAAAACAACTATAATGATATATTGGTAACTGTCGGGAAAGTTTCTGTTAAAACAACTATAATGATTTATTGGTAACTGTCGGGAATGTTTCTGTTAAAACAACTATAATGATATATTGGTAACTGTCGGGAAAGTTTCTGTTAAAACAACTATATATATTGATATATGATTTATTGGTAACTGGTAACTGTATATTGGTAACTGAAATGTTTCTGTTAAAACAACTATAATGATATATTGGTAACTGTCGGGAAAGTTTCGGGAAAGTTTCTGTTAAAACAACTATAATGATATATTGGTAACTGTCGGGAAAGTTTCTGTTAAAACAACTATAATGATATATTGGTAACTGTCGGGAATGTTTCTGTTAAAACAACTATAATGATATATTGGTAACTGTCGGGAAAGTTTCTGTTAAAACAACTATAATGATATATTGGTAACTTTCTGTTAAAACGATATATTGGTAACTGTCGGGAAAGTTTCTGTTAAAACAACTATAATGATATATTGGTAACTGTCGGGAAAGTTTCTGTTAAAACAACTATAATGATATATTGGTAACTGTCGGGAAAGTTTCTGTTAAAACAACTATAATGATATATTGGTAACTGTCGGGAAAGTTTCTGTTAAAACAACTATAATGATATATTGGTAACTGTCGGGAAAGTTTCTGTTAAAACAACTATAATGATATATTGGTAACTGTCGGGAAAGTTTCTGTTAAAACAACAATCATGATATATTGGTAACTGTCGGGAAAGTTTCTGTTAAAACACCCTCTTACTATTCACGTGTCTTTCACATCACTACTATATATAATGGTGCAGTATACTGATAACGGTTGGGTAGTTCCGTGAAAACAATGGCGACGTATAAAAGTATTTTTAGACTTTTGTCAGAGATGATGATGATAACAATATACCCCGCTGTTTTGACTGTAATACTACCGCTTTGTAAGAAAAGAAGAAGAAATGTCTGTTTAAGTCTGAATTACATCGTTTTCTGTTTGTTATGTCATTTATATAAATTACACGAATTCTTTGTGTATATTTCGGAGCAACAATGCCATTAGTCAGTAGCGGCTGGTATCCCCGCGCTCTCGGAGGTTCAGAACAAGGATGTAATAAATGTTCACTCAGTAAGATGGACATTTGGCTGGAATTTTAACCCTAATAATTCATCTTAACTTCTCTCCGTTATTAAATATGTAAGCCAAAGTAGATGTGCTTTATAGTAAGTTAATATACCACTGTTATAGACCATTTACCTTGTAGAGTAGGTCCTTTTTGTTTTATTGTTTGTTGTTGTTGTTTTGTTTTTGCTTTTTTCGATTTTTGTAATTCGATGATAATGTTTTCAATTACTTTTTTATTAAATTCTTTTATTATTTTATTTGTGTTTTTAACTGCCTCCATTAAAGAGAACTGATGTGGAATAAAATATAATTGATCCGTTTGACAGAGCTACAATCGGTATTTTTCACTCTTCCATACATTTAACCCTGTATATAAGTATCGATAATTTGCCATGCTCGTTAAAGATAGACACTGTATTGATGACTTCAGCAGTTTTTCTGTTTATCATATCCTATCACAGTACTGACCTTTATTTCCATGTATATATCATATTTATACGATAAACATCACATAG